CCCCCCCCCCCCCCCCCGGCGCTAGATATTGAATCCAGGACCTTGTGCATGCTGTGTAGTTAGTGCTCAGCCACACACCGAGCCACACTTGTAGTCTGAAATTCTTTTTGTTTCATCTCATCTTGATTCAGTCTATTATGCTTTGTTCTTCCTTGCTGAGTCTTCAACTGTATGTCTATTTCTCTCACATTTGAATTTGTCCCTAGGCTGGCTGCATGTACATTCATGGAGGAGTGGTGAACATCCATGAAAACAAACGGACTGGGTCACTGTTTAAGATCTGGCTGGTGGTACCTAGCCTGCTGGAACTAGCCTGGGAGAGGCTGCTTGCCGCCTTCCCCAGCCTAGCAAATCTCTCCCGAACACAGCTTCTGCACCTCGGACTAACACAGGGACTCATCGAGCGCTTGAAATGAGGAGTTCTGGACTGTTCATTGGTACTGGAAATGTTAATTTAAAGAGACTCCTTTATTTATGGGCAGTGTAGAATGTGCTACAAAGAGGATTGGTTACCCTGATCAAGGCCTTATTCAGAAAATACATCAGATGCCTTTCCATAAATTGGTTTTTAAGTTTATGGACATCTTGCTTTCCCATGTGCATTCTGCTTTGTTCTCCCTCCTGCCCATCACATACCCACATACTTACTTCCCCTTTCTTGATGGAGTTGAGGGAAAGTCTGGAAGTACCTTAATATAAGGAATCAAGATAAGATAAATAAGTTTTAAAAAAGAGAATTCTGAACGTATTAACCATGTTAGCCATTCTTCATCAATGAAAACAACTTAAAAATTTAAAAATCTGGCAATAGTAACAAGTAGTTTGGAAGATAGAAAGTCTGACTTTAAGAATCTTGCAGATTATTCATAATCCTGGATATTTAATTGGTATTTCCAAAATGTGTCTGATTAGTGGCAACCATGATTGACATCTTGCAGCCTAGATACCTAACCCTATCCTTTGGCTTTAGGGGGAAGTTAGGCAGCTTAGCAACTCCTGACTAGTGACTTCTTTTCTTATGGTGCCAATAGTAGTTAGAATCAGTTTGTTAGAAGACTTAATGTATATGTCATGGTCCTGCTCTTTGTGGTTGCTCTTAGAAATTATGGCACCAAGAATATTTCAAATGGAGGAACTTAAAAATCATCAAAGTTCTTTTTTGGCAGTTTTGGAATTCTGTGCTTATTGCTGTCTCTTTGACCTCATGGAGAATAAGCGGTGTTGATGCCATGGGACAGGAGAAGATGGTAGAAAGCCTGTTCCTGTCACTTGTTAACTTGGCTTCTGCTTGGCCACAGGCTTTCATTTGTCACATTGGCCATTTCCTTTTCAGCACTTATTTCCTTTCTCATCTCCAGACTGCCTTCCTGCCATTTTCTTAAGCAGTCAGTCCTAGATTTCTCCCCTTAGCTTGTTGCCTGTTTTTTGTGTTTTGGGTTTTTTTTTTTTTTTTTTGGTCTGTTTTCATGTGCATGGTGCTGTAATTATCTAGTAATTGGATAAAAGGTCTTGAGGGAAAAGCCACGGGTCATCCCTTGTTGAAGAACCAAGTATCACTTAAAGACTAGCATGAGGCAGGAATGAAACTGAGTGTATTCACTTTTCTTTTAATAGGAGATTTTAGCTCTGGTTTATTTTGTTAATTTTGAAAAGACAAATGACTGAAGTTTTACTTGCTTTTGCAATCAGGCTGCTAGAGGAGTTGAGTGTGTCACTTGCGATGAGCATTTGGACACCATCAGTGTACTCAAGGTGCTGGAGTCATGCAGGGGGGGATTTGCTGACCCTCCTGCAGTTCCCTCAGAGCAGGAGATTTGGGACACATCTTTCCTTTAAGTGCCTCTTTTTCACCTAGCTTTTAAAGTCATTCATTATTATTATTATTTACCCCAGAAGGGATCTCTTTAGCTTATATGTGGATTTAAAATAATCTCTGAGTTATGGCTAAAAAGTTATCATCTAGCATTGAGTTCTGGGGAAGAGGGCCCCATGGCCTCTAGACACTTCTGACCTCCAGCCTTACTGTATCCCATCCATGCAGTCTTGTGTTAAGCAGTCATATATGACTTTAAGCCTTTCTGGGGAGGGAGGGGAGTGAGAGAGGCTGGAAAAGGAGCAGCTCCTCTGGGGAACCCCACCTGTTACCATTCCCAATCCGCAGGACATTTAACCTCTTACCACCCACTGCCAGGTTTGCTCCCTAGAGGCCTTTCTCCAGAACAAGTCAGAGCAGCTCCTTTAGTTCAGAACAGAGCTTTGTAGTGTGTGTGACTCCAGCCTGCTCTCTAGATATATAGTGGAATTAGACCCCAAACTAAAGTTAGCCTGTCTAGGGTGGGAAAAGGATTTTTGTTGTTTTTATGGGGACCAAAGACTGAAGGCTTGGCCTCATGTTTAGATTTCCATGGTCCTTGGGATACAAACAGGTCTCTGGTTCTGCTTCACCAGAAAGCTGGAGAGAGGGGGGTCTGATTCAGGCCACACTTGCTAGTATCCTTTTTAAGCCTTCTGAGGGTAGTCTTTTTTGAGATAGATATTGGAGGCCTGACATCAAATACCTTGTGTGTCTTAAAAGTACGTCTTTGGTCTAAAGTGTCTTCTTTTGCTATAATACTAGTGAAAATAATGTAGTGTGTGACCAGCTCTGAGTGCTAGAGATCCACTCATATGCACATGCTCGGATGCCAAATGAGCCCGTGTGTATGAAGACCTGCAGGAAGATGACTGGGTTTTATAGAAGCGTGATTGGGCATTTGGTGTATTTGTAACCAGCACCTGGAATTCCTGACACAGTTACCTGAGACGGGCCAGTTAAGCCTTCTGCCCGACTTTCAGGTACTCCCAGCCATCTTCCTGCAGTCTTGGAAATTGAAGTGCAATATATAGAAACACAAATGGATATATACTGATTATGTAGAGAGTGTGACTGTAAAGCAGCTACACAACTTTTTTTTTTGTATCTGTCTTGAGGAAGCCAGTTCATTACATTAGAGTAAAATTATGCCAAGAATTTCTGATGTGATTATATGCCAAATACTGGTGAAACTGGGTTTCCAAGCACATCTTTCCTTACTCCAGTTCAGTTCATAGAGTGTTCCTTGGGTTTGTTAGAGTTGAGATTTTTTTATTCCCAGTCACCTTTGTATTATCTCCTATTTGAATGTCTTGCCCAGGAATAAGGGAGTCCACTTGTAAGTTATTCCTAAGTGGAGAATTAAAACCTAATATTTAGTAATATCAGTTTATCTGGGAATGTACTACCTTATAATAATTAAATGACAAAAAAATGATGTTTTTCTTTACTTAATGAAGCATTTCCACATCATGGAAAACTATAAACTGATGCAGAATACATTGAAATTAACTATTGTTTTGGGGAGGGGGTGTCAAACCCCTTTCTACTGATAGAATCTTCTTTCTTCAGACCTCAGTGGTTTGCTGTAAAACTTTTCTCTATACCATTTATATCCACTACATAGTTAGATTTAAAAGTATAATCATAAACATATTAGCATTTCTAAGCAAAAAAGGTACACGACAGTGACCTTTGGTTACCCAGAATAGTAAGAGTAAAGCACAGATAATGAAATCTAGAGATAATCAGTGTTTCAACTTTCCTATCAAACAGTTCCTTCATTTGTATTTCTTTTCCCTCCCTGTCCCTTGCCCACAAGTACCTCCTTTTCAATGGGTTGAGTAGTTAGAAAAGGTGATTCACAGGGTGCTAGCAGCCAGCCAACATCTAAGCCAGCCATACGAGCTCTGTTGGGGAATCAGACTGCTGTTGAGCACTGAGATGAGGAGCCACAGGTAGAAACCCTGAGTCTAGATCTTATCTTCAGCAGGATCTCCTGCTTGAGTTCTAGGCTGTCTCTTCTGACCCACCAAAGAATGCTTAGCCCCTGGGGAAGAGAAAGTGGTATATGGCAGACATGGGAAATCTCATCAGTGGAACACATTTCTCTGGTTCTTGATATATCCTGGCTTCTTTGTTTCCTTTGGAGTTACCTTCTCCAGCCCTATAGCCTGACATATATAGGAAAGATTGGACTATCTTCTCTGTGTTGGTCTTTCAATCGTGTAATACCAGTTTGTTTTTATGTGGTCTTATAGATGTTTAGAAAGTGGCACAGGTTACTGAATTCTCTACCTGCCAACATTCTGATGTAGCACAAAGCCATTTTCTTCTTTTTTTAACTCAATTTTATTTTTCTGGCATTGAGTTCCAGGGTAGATGAGGGTTTGTGGTCTTACGACCATAAGTTTCAAGAGCTGATTGACATTAGTGTAAATTGCTTCGGTTCCCCCAAATACCTTAGAACTCTAGGAGTATTGGCAGGGCCTACGGTAGGCTCGGTAGATAGAGTTCTGGAACCTCCACGTGTTGCTTCAAATCCTGCCCCCAACAGCATTTTCCTTCTAAGATCGTGAGATTTGGCGGAAAGCCACCCTTGTCTTGTGTTATAAATAGAAGTTCTAAGTTGTGCTTCAAAAGTGGTATCTTTTTAGTGTAATTGTTATGTTTTTAAGTTCTTAAAACTTTAAGAAGCTTCTTAAAGGCCCTGTTTAGTAAGCGTACAGGATAAGTCAAAAGCAGTTTTCAGATGAAAGGCCAGTTGCACCAAGCATTACTATTGCTGTGTTACTAGTTTAGCATGAGAAATGCAAAGGAGGCACACTGACTCTCTGTAAAGCCACTTCCTGTGCAAAGTCTATTGCATGAGAACACAGGCATCTTCCTGTAAAGGCACCTGCCACCGATTCGTCATTGGAAGAATTAGGCAAGAAAGCCTCTCTCTGGAACACAGCCTCTGAGGGTGGGCTTGGGCTTTGCTTTTCCTGCAGAGTACGCCGGGGCCATACACAATGCTTGCCTTACTTAAAAGCTATTTGCCACAGTCTTGTTAAATAGTGTGGAAGTCTTTTTGCAGTCTGGTGTGCATGCCATATGATCAGGACAGCTTTTCCACCTCCCCTGGTTTCCTACAAGCAAGTAGGAAATATAGTGAATTTCCCCTGAAATGTCCAATCTGTATTTATGTACCTTGTCAGTGTTTTGCTGTTGGTTTTCTAAAACAATCGGATCAATAAATCTCATCCAAATCTATTTGGCTCACGCCACCATGATTGTGTGAAAGTAATTTGTGTGTACGTTGGTTCACCTCCCTCTACCACCTTTAGCTCTCCCTGCCCCATTCAGCGTTTCTCTGTAAAATCTATCATCCACCCCCCCAACAACCCCACTGTTGGCTCTTGTCTGCTCACCACCTGGAACTCCTGACTCCATAAGGACATCAGCAAGGGAGCAGCTGGAGGACAGGCCACACACCCTCTCACTGCCCACCACACATTCCCCAGAACACCGCGGGACAGGTTTGTACGGGTGTGCCTGGGCTTTTTGAAAGGGTTGGAGGAATGATAGGGAATTTGAAGGGAAAATGATACAATCCAAGGGGCTGCTGAGCCTTGTGCAGGGGTCCTTTGGGGATGAAACCCCAATTTTTACCATTGGCCTCAGTCTTTCACATGCTTCCCTCTTTGTACATTACCCTCTCTGACCCTTCTTATAGCAATGTCTACCCAAGCCTTTTAAGTCCGAGTCTGGTAAGATTGCTCCTTCAGAATTGCCCAGAAGCCTCTTATTTTCAGAGTTTGCATTGGCTACTTTGACCCACCACACCTTCCAAGATCAAATAGTTGTTACAGTGTAAATCTTCAAGAAAGAGGGGGGAAAATTTTTACCCAGTCATGTATTACTTAAAGCAGAAAACTTACCAGGAACAAGAAGTGAGCCCTTCCCTAAAAAGTAGACTCTTGTAACTTTTAGACCTTATGTGGGGGAAGTTAGGACTCCCAGGCTAGGTAGAAGATGGTGGCCTGGATGGCTCCAACATGGAGGAGGTGGGGGGAGGGAGAGGGGAAGAACCGACTCACAACTGACTCGTGAAACCCTTGGCAGGGAGGTAGGGGGGAAATGGCTGAGCAAGATGCATGTGCCCTTCACAGGTGGCCCAGTACTATAGTACTGCAGAGATAGGAACCAATCACAAGAGTCCACAACATATTTTAACCCCTCAACCAATTGCACTAAAGAGGTGTAACCCCCCCCGCCCCCCGCCACCTTGCACGAGGAGTCCATTTTGCTGTTTCTTTCACTTGAACCTGGACCCTAGATGGCTTTGTGTAGACTGGGGGAGTTTTGAAATAGACTGTTTACATTTGACTGGATCTTTAGACAAGCATTTAGCTCCATCTTGGCCTAGGGAATGGGTTCTCGTGGCTTATTTTGGATGGTTTCACCTTCTGATGAAAGGCCTAGCCATCCTAGACCAATAGAGCTTTCCACAAATACACTAATACTCTAGGTCTACTACTACCAGGGTGGCAGACACTAGCCATATTGTGGCTATTGAGCATGTCAGTGGTGGCTAGCATGACTGAAGAACCAAATTTTGAACTTGATTAAATTCATTGAAATATGGCCATACATGGCTAATGACCACCTGTTGGTGCAATTCTAGAAAGAGATGTGGAAGAGGGGAGTGGAACTCAGCATCTGAGTGGGAAGGAAGGGACAAAGCCTGCTGAGTGGGGAAGGACAGACAGTAAGCACCCCAGCCTAGCTCTGATACTAGGGAAGGCCAGGGACAGCTGGCTCTGGCCACTTGCTATGTCAGGATCCCACATCAGGCCAGGTGCAGTACTGCGAATGGCATCTGTAAAGAAGCAAACAGCTGTCATTCAGTCTGTCTTCTCAGAGAAGACCAATTAGTTTATCTTTCTTGGCCCTGCCAGCTAAAGCTGTTTGGCTTTTGGATCTGTAGACACTCTGTCATGACCCCTAAGAAGGTGCCCCAAATCTTCTCCACCAGCTTACTGTGCAACTCTGAAGAATAGAGCCCAGCCAGGCACGGAGACACTGCTGCCTTTTATTTACCACCTCCATTTCCCCCTAAGCAGCCAAACTCAGGGTATCATTCAAGATGTCAGCGGCCACTCCTTCCCCTCCCTGCACTGTCCACCTCGATGTGATCTGCAGTGGATGAATAGGGAGGCTGGCTGCTCCTGAACTTGGATTTTTAGACCATAGGTCAAAGTCCAGGATTCTCAGGTTATATGCACCACTTGTCCCCATATGCCAAGTAAAAGGGACATGGACATGGTGAAGGGCAGAGGAAGATGTGTAAGATGGCTGTGGTGGGAAGGCAGCACTTCAGTACGTCTTCAGCCATGGCCAGGGGTACAGACTCTGGCCTCACTATGGGCTCAGGATAGGAAACAGGGGGTGCGGAAAGGAGAGGCGGGGCGGGACTCAGAAGGGCCGGGTGAACGGTTGGGATTCTCCCATGGGAGCAGTGGGAAGCTTTCAGTTCCAGAGCCACCACCAAGGCTGGGACCCTTTTTGGGATCCAGGCAGGCTGAGGACTCTTGGCACCAGAACAAGGACTGGCTGTCATCCATGTCTCCCCCTACCCCGATCCGGGCCCCCAGTGTAACAACAACCTGCAGAGCACAGCAGCGATGCCGTCTCAGAGCCGCGCCCCCAAGTCTGTCCCAGGTCCCGAGCCTTTTTGGCAGGAAGGGACGCAGAGAGGCCCGCTTGGACCTGAGGCAGAGGCGAGCTCGGAGCTTCAAGCTCCGCAGTGCGCTGCAGATGCTTGGGGGCCTGGGGAGGCGGGGGAGCTGCTCTGAACCGGAATGATCTGGTTTAGAGCGGACTAGCTCTCCTGTCGATCCTCCCCTTTCATTCCCCGCCCCCCCCCCCAACAGGCTGCTTTTTGCCGCAGTGCCCAACCAAGGTAAACAGAGGAGGGAGGAGGAAAGAACCTTCTGTTTCCATGGCAACCCGCAGGGCGGTCGATATGGTTCTCTGGGAGTGTGACTTGAAGGAGAAGAAAAAGACTCACTGGAAAAGCAACAGGGAGACCCCAGCGGTATTCGCAGAGCGGGTTGATCTGTAACCCGCTGAGGCCTCCAGCTGGGAGGAGAGGAGCCGGCAGCCACAGTGGTGGGCCTGGGGACACTGAGGCAGGGCGGGGGGGGGGGGGGGGGAGGAGGGGGAGTTGATGGAGTCATACCGCACATGTAACCACGAACTGAGGAAGGTGAAAACATACCTGAGCTCCCAGAGCCTGCCCTTTCCAGAAGACCCTTCTATAGCAGCTAAGCCAAGGAGCAGCTGAGAAGTAGACCCAAGCCCAAGTCTAGGCACTGTCTGGAAGAGAACCCCCTCTCCCCTTAGCTGGAGTGTGCTGGGAAGGGGGTGCCCCCCAGAGGCCCTGACTGGAGGCTGACACCCCAGTGTGGGATCCTGGCTGCTGGAAGGGGGGAGTCTGAGGGGCGGTGTGGCAAGAACAGTCACCTGCCCAGCTGGGCTTCGGCGCTCACTGCCCTCTGGAAAGCAACCTGAGGAGGCAGAAACTTCTCCTGGCCTCAAGGCTTCCTAGCAGGTCCTCAGAAGACTGTGTGGAGAGGGAGCTTGTCACTAGCTCTTACCTGTGTAGCCAGGGCTAAGAGGAAATACGGACAGAGGGTGGCTAAGCTTTCTGCCTCAAGAAAGCTGTGTGAACCTGGACGGCTTCAGCCCAGAGGCCGCAGTGGAGACTCCGTAGGCAGCTGGACAGATGTTGCCTTTAACTTCTTTTCCCAAGGTCAGGCAGCCAATCATTTAGGGTGGGGCTTCCATGGCCTAGTTAGTGGTCTAGCCACCAGGCTTCTGCACAAGAGGTCTGGGATGCACGTGAGCTGCTCGGGAGACAACAACTTCAGGACAATGGATGATGGACCGGACCTGTTGCTTTGCCTTTGCCAAACACCCAGAAATGCCACATTTTCTCAGCTCTTTCCCTGGCCCATAGATCCTAAACTTCCCTATTTCTGCCACTTTGCTCACTATGGTCCAGGCTCGGTAGCCTCTCTGCTGTTCCCCAAACTGTCAACCTTTCCTCTTCTTGGGGCTTTGGTCTTTGTAGTTCCCTCTACCTAGGATGCTCATCTGTCACCCCTCACCCCAATTCTTTATTCAAATATTATCACAATGAGGCAAAGCCAGGGTCTGGGGGTGTAGCCAATAAGGTTTTTAGATTGTATCCCTTCCTCTGCCCAGCTCCCTGATATCTATTTACATATGTGAGGGGGTGTGGATGGAGGGTACCCCAGGTTCAGTAAATCTGTGTTCTTCACCTATTCTCCAGCAAACAAGTGAAACAATATCTTCTTCTGTGAAGGGACATGAGACTTCTGGTCACACTACTAAATAGAAAATGGAAGAAAGTAGCTTTAACCAAAAGGATGCTGGTGCGACTTCTTTCAGGCTTGATTGCTCTAGGCAGGCTGTCAGCCCTTCTAGGCAACCTTGACTATATCACAGTTGGAATGACCGCTCTGCCCATTTGGCTACAGCACGGTGGGCAACACTAGTTCACGTGTGCTCCCTGCCTCTTGCCCATGCCAAGTACTTTGTGGATTGTACCGGGTTGGTGGGAATGGAGGCTCTTTAAGCTCTAAGCCAGAGTAGGGTGTGCCAGATAAAACCTACCCTGTGGATCAGACTCAGGGGAATGGGAAGGGGAGGAAGGGAAGAGACCACCTCTCAGAGCCATGCTGGCTCTTCTCCCAGACACAGAACTTTTACGTCTGCATCCTATTCTGCAAGTCCCCTCTGCTTTGTGAAATTACTAATGTCCCTGCTGTAGCTAACCAGTGGCAGCAGCTTGTAACGTTTCTATCAGTTGAGAGCTCCCACTTGCAGTGTGAGTCACCTTCAATTTCCTGCCTGCCTGCCTCTTTCCTGATCGACCTGATAAATTCAGGATGGCTTTTATTGCTTTGGGCAAAAAAAAACCAAAAAAACCCTGCCATTAAGATTTACAGAGCCAAAAGCTGGTACAGTGTAATCTTCAGAGTAATTTACACTGAGTTTCAAAAGATGA